TAACTGAAATGGTTATTCGCAAAGGCATTACGAACATACGTATCCCAAGCGTAGTAAGGGGTCTATGGTAGAACGTCCCTTACGAAAGCCATATGGAGAGTGGAGAGACTGTTGTGGTCTCTAAATACCACCCCTAACGTCTATTTACTAGGCGTTCCATTACTTTGCAAACTGCACTGGTAAGAGCAATGGGACGATAGTGGGAGGTTCATGTCCCGTATTTCTGGTTTGGGGAAAAGGGAGAACAATGGCGGATTTCCACAGCTGTGGAAGAACTCCTTGTGACCAAATAAGATTGAAAAAGGCGTAATAGGACTGCAAGGGGCTGACTGATGTAAATGTTTTAGCATACGAATATGAATGTCGTCGGGCCCAGCGGGGCCGATGATGGACAAGCTGAAGTGTTGCCTCCATTTCTTGAAGTGTAAAAGCACATTATACTGTTCTTCTCTGAGAGAAGAAAAGTCCAAGGGTGCTAACTCTCTGGCAACTTTGAGGAAAAAATGGGGGGCATAGAGGGGAGTCCCTGAGAAATACGGACCAGATGATTCCCAAATTTTTCATTGGCAACATCTAGGGGGTTTTGCTATATCAACACGGCAACCCGCAGAACAGGAGCCGGGTCCAGGAGAATATTTCCCACTCAGTTTTCGTATTTTTCCAGACTGCACTCATAGAGGAAGCAGAGGTGATGGTGGAGACATAATCTCGCCAGCAAGTGCATTTAGCGTCACGGATACACGGCGAGCGATCACAACGCTTCTGTTTTAAAATCAAGGAGTCTCTCTGTGGTTCTATTGTACCGTACCTGCCCCATGCAGCGCGTTTCAAACGTACTGCACAGCACAAGCAGGAGACCACCAAGGCACGCATTTCTGAGAATGCCTGCCCGAAGTTTGGGGATAGAATGAGAAGCTGTGGTGAAAACGGAGGACGAGAAGAGGTGTAAAAGCTCATCGATGGAGGACGAAGAAGGAACCTCTTTAAAAAAACAGTTAGGTGTGAGTAAAGGTTCCAATTTGCCCGATTAAATTGCCAGCGTGGGATGCGAAGAGGTGGCGAATAGAAGAGGAAGTAAGAATGATTGGGAAATGATCACTGCCCATGTAAGTCCGGGAAAAACAGACCAAGTGAAGTCTAATGCGGCGGAGGAAGAGCAGACTGAGAGATCGATGCAAGAGAGAGTATGAGTCCGAGATCAAAAGGGGTGTGAGTAAATGAAATTTAAAACATGGAGGGGGTGGGTGGCAAGAAAAGCCTCTAACTGAATTCCACGGGAATCACAGTGAGACCCCCCCCAAGGGGAAAATTTGGTGGGCATTAAAATCACCAAGTAACAAAATCGGTGGTGGTAAGAACGAAACAAGAAAGGCAATATCCGGAATAGATAATGCCCCGGGGGAGAGAGATATAAAAAACAGAGCGTATACCACCTATGTAAGTGGATACGGGCTGCTTTGTAATGCAGCGAAGTATGAACAAATACCCTGATGGTACGGAATATCAGTGCGTAGAAGAAGGGCACTTTCATTAAAGGTCCCATCGGGAAAAAGGATCTGAAGAATACAATAAATTAAAGCCTGAGAGGGGAGAAATAACAGCAGAGTGTAATTTTGGTTCCTGTAAGCAAACACCAACAGGGCAAACTGGGAGAGTAACATCTGAAGCTCACCCCGTTACCCTGAGGCCGGTATATTCCACTGTAAAAAGGCCATGATTGGCAATGATAAAAAATACTTGAAATCCGCAGGTAAGGGTTCCTACGGACAAGAGGGGTTAGAAAAGTCCACATGCGGAGACAGTGGAAAACGTTCAAGCAAACGAAGGAACGGTGCGCTTTTGAAGAAAGGAGTTGCGCAGATGGAGCAGAGGAGAGAGAAAAAGCGGAAGGTGATCATGTCCATTGATGGGTTTGGTCTTGCAATATATTCAGAGATTGCTTCAAGTGTTTCGGAATTCAGAGACGTCGTATGGGAGACAATATTGGAAATGGTAGGGGGAAAGGGAAAGGGGTAAAGATTGGAACTGTATTGGACTGTACCAAGGGAGGGGGGGCGAAAGGGGGGAGGAACTGGAAAGCATGGCAGGGGACAGAAGAGGGAGGAACCTGGGGGGTGGCAGAAAGGAAGAAACTTGGGGGGGAACAGGGAGGAAGGTAAAAGTACGAGGAAAGGGGGGTGAACCTCTACACTTTTAACTGAGCCAGTGAGAGGGGGAGAACCAGGGACAGAACAGGGAGGGTAAAATGAGGGGGTGAAGATGGGTGGAGGTGTTAACGGAACCTTTTTTTGACTTTTGAGAAGTAGAAGGAGATTGGGGAGGTGTCGTACGAGGTCTCGTCGATACTGAGGCTTGTGAGAGAGAACACGAAGAAGCGAGATCAGACTGAGGCATTGAAGTAGGGACGTCTGAGCCGAGGACAGCAAAAGGATTAGATACAGGAGTGCCCTATGGGAGAGGTAACCACAGAGGTGGGTGTAGAGATGGGATACCAGAAGTGGGGGACGTTTGAAACACGGGAAAAGAAACACTGGGAGTCTCCCTTGGAGGCGGAGATGAGAAACTGCCATGGCATAAGGGAGACCTTCTGTCTCTTTGAGGTAACGGATTTCCCGCTCGTTAAATAGACTTGACAACGGCGAGAGTACGAAGGGTGAGCCTCAATGACAGTTAAGGCAAGAGGGAGATTGATTGAAAGACGTTTTTAGAATGGTCATGGGCACCACAGACTGGGCATTCGGCGATAGATCTGCAATATTTCGCTGGATGGCCAAATCTCCAGCAATTTCTACACTGTGGTGAGGGATCACCTTTCGAACTTGTAACCGATGTCCTGCTATATAAACTGAGGATGGGAGTTTTCGGCTGTCAAAAGTTAAACGAGCCACATTGCTAGGGTATCGTCTCCGCCCGTGGGCAGGAAGAACGTAAGTGTCTACCTTGAGGATTGGAGATTCTTGGAGTTCCAGCTGTTCAAGATGTCAGTGCCACATGTCTGGAAATTTGTTGAACTATGGTATGGGGCAGAATGACGGTACCACTACAAGAATTGAGGGAATGATGTTTTTCAAGAGTGACAGGAACAGTATCAATATGGGAAAGACGAGAGAGCTCATGAGCCTGGGTAGCTTCTGTATGGTAATGATGCGCGTACCACTCTTAAGAGCATGAAAAGAATAATCTTTCCAACATGGCGTAGGAGTGCCTTGCCAATACTGTGGTCAGAAAGATAGGCAGTAGAGGAAGTCGGTCGTAAAGTGAAGAATTTAGTCCATTGTTCAGTCTGAAACTGAGCGTGGAAAGGTAGTGAAGGACGTGTCGATCGTTCTGAGAAGAACGAGAAGGTGGAGAAGTATCATCAGCAGGTAATTGTCGTTGGCGTTTAGGCGTGGGACCAGAGTTGGTCCGACGTGGAACGGGTCGGCGATTTGAAAATTGCCGCACCATAGAGGGAGAGGCCGGAAGCATAGTCAGAGGAGAGCGAAGGTCCGATAAATTGAAGGAGTCAGTCGAGGCCTCAGTACCTGAAGCGGGTGAGGAAACAGCACCGGCAATAGGTACAGAGGCATGAGGAGTGTCTGAAGAGTGGTCCAAAGACGAGGCGGGGTCAGAACGGGGTGCGGTATCAAGAAGGGGCCCGGGGGTAGTAGGTTCATGGACTAGGGCTGCCATGGTTAGGTTACTTCTTTCTTTTTGTTTTTAAGAAAAAAAAGAAAGAAGAAAAGAAAATAAAAATAAAAAAAAGAATAAAAAAAGGGGGGACCGGGAAGGGATAGTTCCTAGGAGGAATGAAAGGGCCAAAAATCTCCCTCCGCGCCCAAGAGGACCTCAGCACCGCAAGTAGCACAGATGCAGCATGGAACCCGTGCCATACCCTACCCATCATGCTAGTAAACTAACAATCCGGGATAGCAACCTCACATCTGCCGAGCTACCTCGGTGGACAAAAGAGGGCGGCCCGGATATCCGCCACAAAGCATACCTCCTTCGGCCACCACCCCCGGAATCCGAAAGGTGGCTTCCAGAGATACACCCGTCGCCCGAAAGACACCCAAAGCTACTCCGGGATACCGGAGAGGGATCGGGACATCCCCAGGCGATCCAGATTCCACGGCAAACTATGCCACCGCCAAGAACCTCAACGGAATGGGATGGACCCCGGTATCCTTTCCCCTACCTAGGAACTAGCGCGCCTGTGGGAGAAATCCCAAAGGCCAAAAAGAGGAAGGGCAAAAGGGAGGGGAGGGGAGGAGGAGGGGGAAAGGAAAAAGGGAAGGATGGGATAGGGGAGGGGAGATTGGGGGGTAATTAGGTTCGGTCTGAGGAAGACCGACAGGTCTAATTCCTCAGACCAAGAGCCTCTTCACCACGCCAAGGAGCCCCCCTTGAAGAGGGAAACACTTGTAGTTTCCTGAAAAACCTTACCGAACCTAGACCTACATGTGTGACAATATGAAATTGTTATAATTATAGCCATAATTTTTAAAAGGGTGGACAGGTTAGCCAGCGGAAGGCCTCAGTCAGATGACCAGAAGCTCCAGCTGTGGGTCATCATATGATTAAGATCTGCGTCATTAAACAATTGTACTGTTTCCTGACAAACTTTACCTAACCTAGCCTACATTACAAGCGTAGATGACATGCAGAAAGTGAAAGCTGCTGGTGTGAATGATGTATTAACCGGTATTCATTATTATAAGTTACCAAGGATTTTGAGCTTTACAAGTAAAATTGGCACTTGATTGCTAAAAACACCTAGAAATTAGTGACCAAAACATATTGTACTGTTCAGTTTTTATTTCAGACAAAATTCAAATGTTGGTCTAATGTAAATTTGAGAAAAATATTGTGTATACATACATGTATATTACTTGTTCATTGAGGATAGTACTATATGCACTCAAGTTTTATGTAACTTGCCTTGGTACTATATGCACTCAAGTTTTATGAAACATGCCTTGAACATAATTTATTATTCATTCTTTTAAGTTTACATTTTTTATTGTATTAATTACAGTCTATACCATCAAATGTTGGCAAATCCATGTCTGATGGAGAACGTCCAGAAAACAAGAAAAAGAATCGCTATCGCAATAACCTTCCTTGTAAGTACACAAGACTGTTTAAAGGGTGGGGATAAAAAACAGTATGCAGAATGAAAATCACCAGACATAAAAATTAGAAAATGTTTTCTGATACTTATTATTAATTTGGGTTTTAATATTTGTCAAAAATTTTTTTTGTTATGGTATGGTTTTACTGTTTATCACATTTTTTTTTGTTTGTGATAGTTACAGGATTACTGTTTATCATAAATTTTTTGTTCATGGTAGTTACAGGTTTACTGTTTATCACAAATCTTTGTTTATAGTAGTTACAGGTTTATTGTTTATCACAGATTCTTGGTTTATGGTAGTTACAGATTTACTGTTTGAAGGTTCTTTGTTTATGGTAGTTACAGGTTTACTGTCTATCACAAGTTCTTTGTTTATGGTAGTTACAGGTTTACTGTATAGTAGGTAGGTAAAAGATACTATATGAATGGAGCTTACGTTTACTGTTCCTATCTCACCATCACTTACTTTCAGATGATGATACCAGAGTAAAGCTCTCCATCATTAATGATGATCCGTTTTCAAATTACATCAATGCGAGCCACGTTTACGTAAGTGTTGCTTCTTGTGTCCGGTATTGCTAGTTATAATATCGATAAACTCTTGCTTTGAAATGTTACCTGGTATGTAACTTATTCATTGTATTGAATTAATTTTTAATGATGATCCGTTTTCAAATTACATCAATGCGAGCCACGTTTACGTAAGTGTTGCTTCTTGTGTCCGGTATTGCTAGTTATAATATCGATAAACTCTTGCTTTGAAATGTTACCTGGTATGTAACTTATTCATTGTATTGAATTAATTTTTATTCATACAGATTTTTCATAACTTTCATTATTATGATTGTGATGATACATTATTTAGTACTTTTATATCTCGGTATGTGTGAGGAACTTGCAAATATGGAATTTACAGATAACCCCAACCTATTACTGTACTATAAGACTAGATTATTATTATTATAATCAAAAAGAAGCGTTAAGCCACAAGGACTATACAGCGCTGCAGGGCAGGAAGGAAGCGAGGGTATCAGGTGACAAAAGGGAGATGGATGAGTAATAGGTTACGGATAACAGCGGGGTAGTGGATGGTGAAAGGGTAAAGGGCAGCAAGAGACTGAACTAGAAAGGGCTGAGGGGAGTGCGAAAAGTATCATCAGAGTTTGTGGAGTAAATCAGTCGTTGTCAAGAAGTCAATGAGAGAGTCAGGATTAAAGGAGGGTCCATCAGCAAGAAGGGAAGGTAAAGAGAGAGTAGTAGAACGAAGACGACGTTGGAGGTAAATTCTGCGTGCTCGTTGATAGAGAGGGCATTTCTAACAGAATGTGGCTAATCGATACTGGAACTTGACACTGCTCACAGAGGGGAAAACAGGGTGCCTCTCCATGAGATACCCATGAGTAAGACGAGTGTGGCCAATGTGAAGGCGGGAGAGAGTGGTCTCTCAACCTCGGCACTGATGACAAGAAGACGGCCAGTAACCTATGCTCGGTTTAATAGAATGGAGTTTGTTACCGAGCAGAGTTGACCAACGTTGTTGCCAATGGGTGCGAAGGTGGGTAGCTATTGCAGCAAAATAGTCCAGAAATGGAACACCTCGATAGGAAATCGGTAGGTCATGTACTGCTGACCGCGCAGCAGTGTCTGCCTGTTCATTGCCCTGTACGTTGACATGACCAGGGACCCAACAAAAAACAATATCTTTATGTTTGGTAGAGATACGGCGTAGCCAAAGTTGGATACGGAGAACTAGGGGATGAGATGTATCAAATTTTCGTATAGCCTGTAGAGCACTAAGGGAGTCTGAGACTACTACAAATGATGACACAGGCATAGATGCGATACGAATAAGTGCTGCAAGAATGGCATACAGTTCAGCAGTAAAAATGCTAGCTGAAGATAGTAAATGCCCCCGCACGACGCTGTCCAGAAACACTGCTGCGAATCCGACGCCGTCTGAAGACTTAGAGCCATCTGTGTACACAGCGGTGGCATGAGAATGGGAGTGGAAGTGATCAAGAAAAAGAGAGCGGGAAGCCACCATAGGCAGTTGAGCTTTCGAGCAAGGGAGTGAGAAAGAACAGACCCGAACAGCTGGAACTTCCCAGGGGGGTAGGGAAAAGTGAGATGCTACATGAACATATAAAGGTGGTAACTGAAGGGAAGACAAGAGTGAATGTAGGCGAAGAGAAAAGGGACGGAGCAAACAGGGGCGGCGAACGAATAAAGAATGTCTACTAATATCGGTGACCATTCTATAAATGGAAGGATTGTGTAGATCGTGAGAGCGTACATAGTAGCGAAGGCAATGGGCATCATGGCGATCAGACAAGGATGGAACATTCGCTTCTGTATAGAGGCTCTCAACAGGGGAAGAGCGAAAAGCACCAAGGCACAAACGTAATCCTTGGTGATGGATAGAGTTAAGGCTAGAGAGAGTAGCAGGAGAGGCCGCGAATAAATCTGGTCACCATAATCGAGTTCGATAAAACGAGGGCTGAATGTAGGCGAAGCAGAGTTCGACGATCAGCTCCCCAGGAAAGATGAGCAAGGGTTTTAAGAAGGTTTAGCCGGCTGTGACAAGTTGCCTTCAGAGAGGTAATGTGAGGTTTCCAGGATAACCGACGGTCAAAGAGAAGGCCTAGAAACCTGACTGTATCACGTTCGGGGATACGGGAGCCATAGAGATACAAAGGATGATCGGAGATAACGAGCGTCTAGTGAAAGTAATTTGGTGAGTTTTGGTACTTGAAAATTTAAACCCATGTGTTGGTGGCCCAAGGGGAAAAACACGGTCGACCGCATGCTGGAGAGAAACTGCAATAAAGATGACAGTCAGCACCTGCACAAGCAATAGAGAAGTCATCAACATAGAGTGATGACCAAATATTGGGTGGAAGAACAGAGGCCAAATCATTTAATAGCAAGGAGAAAAAGTGTTGTGCTTAGAACACATCCCTGAGGGACACCTTCAGCTTGGACGAAGTCCGGGGAAAGAACATTATTGACTCGAACACGGAAATGTCTGTCAGTTAAAAAGTTCTTAAGGATGGTAGATTGCCTCGGAGGCCTAAGGAATGGGCCTGGGCCAAAATATTATACCTCCAAGTTGTGTCATATGCCTTCTCAAGGTCAAAAAATATGGCAATAACTGAGTGATTATTCGCAAAGGCATTACGAACATACGTATCCAAGCGTAGTAAGGGGTCTATGGTAGAACGACCCTTACGAAAGCCATATTGACTAGCGGAGAGACTGTTGTGTGTCTCTAAATACCACATTAAACGTCGATTTACGAGACGTTCCATCACTTTGCAAACTGCACTAGTAAGAGAGATGGGGCGATAGTGGGAGGCATCATGTCCTGTAGTACCCGGTTTGCGGAAAGGGAGAACAATGGCAGATTTCCACAGCTGGGGAAGAACTCCTTGTGCCCAAATAAAATTGAAGAGGTGTAAGAGGACTACAAGGGCTGACCGATGTAAATGTTGTAACATACGAATATGAATGTCGTCAGGCCCAGCTGCCGATGATTGGCAAGCTGAGAGCGTTGCCTCCAGTTCTTGAAGTGTAAAAGGCACATTATACTGTTCTTCTCTGAGAGAAGAAAAGTCCAAGGGTACTAACTCTCTGGCAGACTTTGAGGAAAGAAACGAGGGGCATAGATGGAGCCCTCGGGAAATACGGACCAGATGAGTGCCAAGTTCAATGGCAACGTCGAGAGGGTTTGCTACATCAACACCAGCGACCCGTAGAACAGGAGCCGGGTCAGGAGAGTATTTATCACTCAATTTCCTCACTTTTTTCCAGACTGCACTCATAGAAGAAGCAGAGGTGATGGTGGAAACATAATCTCACCAACAAGTGTGTTTAGCTTCACGGATGACACGGCGAGCGATCGCACGCTTCTGCTTAAAATCAAGAAGTCTCTCAGCGGTTCTACTGTACCGGTACCTGCCCCATGCAGCACGTTTCAAACGTACTGCACGAGCACAAGCAGGAGACCACCAAGGCACGCACTTCTGAGAATGCCTGCCTGAGGTTTGGGGTATAGAATGAGAAGCTGTGGTATAAACTGACGTCGAGAAGATGTGTAGGAGCTCATCAATGGAGGATGAAGGAACCTCACTAAAAGCAGTGAGGTGTGAGTAAAGATCCCAATTTGCCCGATCAAATTGCCAGCGAGGGCTACGGAAAGGTGGTGAATAGGAAGGAGAAGTAAGAATGATCAGAAAATGATTGCTGTCATGTAAGTCTGGTAGAACAGACCAGGTGAAGTCTAGTGCAGTGGAGGAAGAGCAGACTGATAGATCGATGCAAGAGAGTATGAGTACGAGGATCAAAATGGGTGGGAGTACCCGTATTTAAAACATGGAGGGGGTGAGAGGCGAGAAAAGCCTCCAACTGGATGCCACGTGAGTCACAATGAGACCCGCCTAGAGGAAATGGAGGGCATTAAAATCACCAAGTAACAGAAGTGGTGGTGGTAAGGATGAAACAAGAAAGGCAAAGTCTGGGATAGAAAATGCCCGAGAAGGAGAGAGATATAAAGAACATATTGTAAACCACTTATTCAAGTGGATATGGGCTGCAGTGTAATGCAGCGAGGTATGGACATATAGTTGACAGTACGGAATATCATTGCGTAGAAGAAGGGCACTTTCATTAAAGGTCCCATCTGAGAAAGGATCCGAAGAATACAATAAATTATAGCCTGAGATAGGTTGGAAAACCAGCCGAGTGTAATTTTGGTTCTTGTAAGCAAGCACCCAAAAGGGGAAAACCTGGAAAGCAACATCTGAAGCCCCACCCCGATTACCCCTGAGGCCGCGGATATTCCACTGTAAATAGGCCATGATTGGTGATTAAGAAAATACCAGGAATCTGTAGGTAAAGGCACCTACGGACTAGAGGGGTTAGAAAAGTCAACGTGTGGTGGCATTGGAAGACGTTCAAGTAGCGAAGGAACGGAGCGTTGCGAAGAATGGGGTTGTAAAGATGGAGGAGAGGGAAGAGGGAAAGGGAAAAGGAAGTGAATCTGTGTCCATTGAAGGTTTAGTCTCTGCAATATATTCTGAAATGGCTTCAAGTGTTTCTGAATTCAAAGATGTATGGGAGACCATATTGGAGATAGAAGGAGGAGGGTGAGTAAAGATTGGGACAGTAATGGACTGTACCAAAGTAGAGGGGGAGGGAAGAGTGTAAGGGACTGGAGATGAAGTGTGGGGGGGGACAGAAGAGGCAGAAACCTGGGAGGTGGCAGAAGAGGGAGAAACTTGGGAGGGGACGGGGGTGGAAGGCATAGTACGAGGAGGAGGATGAATCTCCACACTTGTAATAGAGCCAGAGAGAGGGGAAGAACTAGGTACAGAGACTGGAAAGGTAAAGTGTGGAGGTGGAAGAAGGGAAGGAAGGGACAAAGAAGATTTGAGCAATGTGGATTTTTTGGACTTCTGAGTAGAGGGGCGATTGGTATTAGGTGTCGTACAAGGTCTTGTCGATACTGGGGCTTGTGAGGAAGGACGCGAAGATGTGAGAACAGACTGAGTTGTAGTCGGGACATCAGAGCCAAGGACAGCAAAAGGATTTTGATGCCGTAGTGGCTATGGGAGGGGTAATTAACAGAGGAGGCTGCAGAAGATGGGACCCCAGAAGTGGGGGGATGTTTGGAAACACGAGAATAAGAAACGTCTCCCTTGGAGGCGGAGATTAGTAACTGCCATAGCATAAGGGGGACCTTCTGCCTCTTTGAGGCAACGGATTTCACGTTCATTTAAGTAGACCTGACAACGGCAGGAGTACGAAGGGTGAGCTTCATTACAATTAAGGCAAGATGGAGGTTGACTGCAAGATGTATTAGAATGGCCGTCGGCACCACAGACTGGGCATTCGGCATAGATCTGCAATATTTCGCTGGGTGACCAAAACGCCAGCAATTTCTACATTGTTGCGGTGTAGGTATCACCTTTCGAACTTGTAACCGATGTCCCGCGTCCCGCGACATATACAGAGGACGGGAGTTCTCGGCTGTCAAAAGTTAAACGAGCCACATTGCAAGGGTAACGTCTCCGCCCCCGGGCAGGAAGGACATAAGTGTCTACTTTGAGGATTGGGAGATCCTGGAGTTCCAGCTGTTCAAAAATGTCATTGCCACATGACTGGAAATTCTGTTGGACTATGGTATGGGGCAGAATGACAGTACCACTACAAGAATTGAGAGAAAGATGTTTTTCAATAGTGATAGGAGTAGTATTGATATTCGAAAGGAGAGAAAGATCATGAGCTTGGGTAGCATTCTGGACAGTGACGATGCGCATACCGCTCTTGAGAGCATGAAATGAAATATCTCTACCAACATGACGCAGGAGCGCTTTGCCAATACTATGGTCAGAAAGGTAGGCAGAAGAAGAAGTCAGTCTTAAAGTAAAGAATTTAGTCCATTGTGTGGTCCGAAACTGAGCGTGGAGAGGGTGCTTGATGTGTCGGTCTTTTCCGAGTAGAATGGGAAGGTAACGAAGGAGCATCATCAGGAGATTGACGTTGGCGTTTAGGAGTAGGACCGGAGTTGGTCCGGCGTGAAATGGGCGGGCGATTCGAAAATTGCCATACCGTAGAGGGAGAAGCCGGAAGCATAGTCAAAGGAGAGCGGAGTTCAGACAAATCGAAGGAGTCAGTCGAAGCCCCAGTACCTGAAGCGGGTGAGGAAACAGCACCAGCAAGAGGTACAGGGGCATCAGGAGTGTCCGAAGAGTGGTCTAAACACAAGGCAGGGTCAGAATGGGGTGCGGTATCAAGAAGGGGCCCGGGGGTAGTGGGTTCATGGACTAGGGCTGCCATGGTTAGGTTACTCCTTTGCTTTTTGTTTTTAAGAAAAAAAAAGAAAGAAGAAAAGAAAATAAAAATAAAAAAAGAAAAAAAAGGGGGAGCGGGGAGGAATAGTTCCCAGGAGGAATGAAAGGGCCGGAAATCTCCCTCCGCGCCCAAGAGGACCTCAGCACCGCTAGTAGCGCAGATTTCAGCATGGAACCCGTGCCATACCCTACCCTTCATGCCAGTAAACCAGCAATCCGGGATAGCAACCTCACATCTGCCGAGCTACCTCGGTGGACAAAAGAGAGGGCAGCCGGATATCCGCCACAAAGCATACCTCCTTCGGCCACCACCCCCGGAATCCGAAAGGTGGCTTCCAGAGATACACCCGTCGCCCGAAAGACACCCAAAGCTACTCCGGGATACCGGAGAGGGATCGGGACATCCCCAGGCAATCCAGATTCCACGGCAAACTACGCCACCGCCAAGAACCTCAACGGAATGGGATGGACCCCGGTGTCCTTTCCCCTACCTAGGAACTAGCGTGCCTGTGGGAGAAATCCCAAAGGCCAAAAAGAGGAAGGGCAAAGGGAGGGGTGGGGAGGAGGAGGAGGAATGGAAAAAGGGGAGGATGGGATAGGGGAGGGGAGAATGGGGGTAATTAGGTTCGGTCTGAGGAAGAAGACCGACAGGGCTAATTCCTCAGACCAAGAGCCTCTTCACCACCACGCCAAGGAGCCCCCCTTGAAGAGGTATAAGACTAGATACATTTCAGACTACTGTGATCCAGTGTACTCTCCTGCATTAGTTTACATTCTTGCACCTTAACGCAGCTACACACTGAAATATGTTTTCCCCATTTATTTTTGCTTAAAAAAGTTTATTTAATTAAAAGGTGTTACATTAGTTCACTTATTTAGTTTTGAATAAATATAAGTTATTTTAATAGAAATTATGAGAGGGTTGTATGATCAGTATGCACACACTCTCCTCCACATAAGCCACCTCCTCTTACTCACCATGCTCTTCTTCTTTTTCCTGAAGCAGGGTTATCCTACCTTGGAGGGTCTGAGAGCTTGCACTTGGGAGGTACCTTGTCTGTTCCCCGGGGTGGGACCTTGGTGGAGCCTTTTATTCCTTAAGGAAGGGCATCTCTTCTTGGCTTCAGTAGATCAAATTTCATCAAAATTTAGTACCAGAGGGATAGATAAGGGAATTTGTGTAGTTCTGTGTTATTGCTGCCACCAATTGCAGTGTTTTGGTACTGGAGGTTACTGCAGATCCACGATCCAAGATGTAAGACTGCAGACATTCTTTTCAGTTTGTCTTCTGTCATTATTATAATAATAGCTGAATAACAGGCACTGACACTCAGACTTTTCTGATAACTCACACTTGGCTTTGGGTTTTCTCCACTCATTGTTGGAGCTTAAGGGAGACTGTTTTCTCATGGCTATGTATTGACCATATCATATCAGTATTACTCATGTTAATCTCATTGCCACTATTGCTTTTCAGTACATGAAAATGAAAATAAATTTTATTTCCCAAATAAAGTTTAAAAGTTACGAATCAGTCTTTTACAAATAGTTGCAAAAATGTACAAGCTATTCAGAAAGCCACTAAATTATAGAGCATTTCAGGCATGCTAAACTGTGACATCATGAAACTTATAATTGAAATTATGGCATTTACCTTTCTCAAGCTCTGCATTTCCATGCCTGTGGTTTAGTAGAATATGATTCAGTTTAGGATGGAAGTGAATGTGAAACACTTAAGCAAAATATTATATACTGTTCTAAGGTGGTCAAACATTTTCCTCATTTACATGTTTTTTCTGCATGCTTTATATGCATAAAATATTTAGCATAGGAATTTTTAAATAAAATCACGAACTGTTGCACTCCATATATACTACTTTATCTGATATTTCCAGGGCTTTGGTGGAGTTCTTAAATACATTGCTTCACAAGGGCCCAAGGATGCCAACGTGAACACCATCGGTGACTTCTGGAGAATGATTCGAGAACAACATATCTCTGTTATTGTAATGGTCGCTAATTTTGTCGAAGGTGGAAAGGTAATTTAATATATTTTGTAAATATTTGCAAATTATATAATTTATTCAAGATTTGTATTACTGTCATGCAAAATGCCAAATGACTTTTGTTTATTTATTTTGCAAGATGTAATCAGACATTTTTTTCTAGACTTTAAATCTGGAGTATCGTGTATAATTATTCAATTTGTTTTCGATTTCATTTTTCATAACATTATTATTACAGTTTAATAAGATCCTTGTGAACAATATTTTTTTTTAGAAATTACATGAGTGAACATCCCATCCTCTTGACAACAGACAGTATTTCAGTTTTTAAGACAATCAAATGGGTGACTGATAAAGAAGTTTATTAACAATGATTTACTAACAGATCTTCCTAGTACGCTAAATGGCTCCCCTTTTTCTGTTTCCACATCAAAAGCTTTATCGCCTTTATTAATTTATTGCCTTAGTAGTATACTGTAATTGGTTATTTTTTTATCGATAGACGGCAAACTAGCCTAATTAAACCCAACCTCTCTCCAGGTAAACTCCAGGTAAACCTTATCAAACCTACGTAATTAATATCGTGAAAGTTTTCTGCAAACCGTGAGAAATTCTCATGGGAAAAAAAACACTTGATTCAGTAAGCCTATGTTGGAACATAAATATAAGCTACGTAGCATTGTCAGCTTTAGGAAATATTGAAGATAGTGTTGAAGGCTAAAATTGGAG